GGCGGTGGTTCAGGGGGGTCATATTTTATCCCTGTTTCCGATGTTGAGATGGCCAAGCTGAGGAGGGCCTCATGCGTTTGGAAATACGTTACGCTGGGGCAACCGGTAGGGTCGTGGGAGAAGATGCACGGCGACCACAAGTTGCGATGCAACTTGTGCAAGCACCTGTGGCAGGGGAACCAATCGAAGGCCGCGAGGCACTTCTGCCAGTTGAAGAAGTGCCGTGTTGCGCAGTTTGACGTGCTCGTTGACATTTGGAACGGCACAGACTACAGATTCGATGACCGACATCACGCATCCATTCGCACATACATGGAGGAGCACGGCATCAGAGACTCCCGAGCAGTTGGTGGAGGTTGTACAGGAGCGGATCCTTGCACTGCAGGCAGGGACGACGTGCAGGACGTGCTTGACAAGATGGAGGAGCGGGAGGGGGTGGAGTTGCCAGGGGAGGAGGTCGTGATGACGTCGCGTGGGGAGGACCCTGAGACCCGAAAGGGGAAGAGGCCGATGGGGGAGACCGACCAGGCAGCGACCCGACCGGGGAAGAGGGCCCACCAGTCCAAGATCGACGAGGTCTACACTGCGGACAAGCAATCGTTCGTCAACGACAAGTTTCTGCAGTGGATTTATAACTCTGGCATTCCGTTCAACGCGTTTAGGAGGCAATCGTGGAGGGAGGTCTGGAAGGCGGCGGATCAGCTGCCTAGAGGAGTGCGGATGCGATTTCCTGCCTTTAAGGAAATCGGTGGAGATGGAGTGCCCGAGCAGAGGGCGAAGGTGGCAGCTTTATTACGGGAGGTCCGAGAGTCGTTCAGTCACAACGGCGCCACCATCTTGTCAGATGGTCAAAAATCGCGTGATTCATGACCCATCGTGAACTTCCTTACTGTGCCACTGGCGCCCTACCCTACGCCACCATTGGCCGCGACGGTTCTGTACAGGAGACGGGCGCCATTGCCTTCCGCAGGTGGAAGGCCATCATTTAGTCCTTCCCTGCGAAGGACATCATAGCTTTTTGTACAGACTCCACTAGTAACTACACAGCGGCCGCCCATTTGCTCGCTGCAGACCCTGATCCAATGGTCCGTCGCATCACTTGGCTCCCCTGCTCGACCCATGTCTGCAACTTGATGTTGTCAGACATAGGGACACGAGTGGGGTGGGCAGTTGACACCATTATCCATGGACGAGCGATGGTGCGATTTATTAAATCGCACGGCGCAACTCTCGCCCTTTACAAGAAGAAGAGCCCGCGTGTTTCGTTTGTGCAGTAAGTTGAGACTCGCTTCGCATCAGTTTTCATGATGTTGACTTGTCTCCTTGGGAGACGCGATCCGCTGGAGGCGATGTTGCATGACGACGCCTGGGCGAGTATCCCTTGGGAGCGAAGACTGCTACCCCAGGCGAGATGGGTGCGTCTCCAGATTCGAGATGGCGAGTTCTGGCGCTATGTTGAGTTCTTGATTCTTGTGATGGAGCCCATCCATCAGCTGCTGAGGTGGATGGACAGAGGAGGGATGATGATCTCCATCGTCTACGAGTGGAGCCGTCATCTCGTTCAGCTTCTGACGAAGCTGGACGTCGTGCCGGCCGATCTTCTGACCCCGTGCGTGCGAGAGGTCAGGATGCGGCTCATGCACTTGTTGGAGTCGCGCTGCCGCTCATCTCCTAAACCCCCGTCGTCGGTCTTTGAGGTACTACACGTCCCTCCACACCACGACGGAGGATATGGAGGTTGTACATCAGTGTGATCGTTTTCTCCTTGCGGAGACTGGAGGTGATCCCACCAGCAGGGATTACCTCGTTGTTCGTGACCAGATGCACCGATTCCATGCGCGCAGTGGAGACTGGGGTGACAAGCTGGTGTCGGACACCGAGGCGGAGGGTTGCCATGGGGATCAGGAAACGCACCATTGCGCGGCGTGGTGGTTTGCCCACGACACTGCCCACCCTGAGTCACGTGCTATCGCTATCCATGTGATGCACATGTGGACGTCAGCCTCTCCCGCGGAGAGGAATTGGGCGGCCCACGAGCGCATTCAGACGGCAAACGGAGCAAACTTGGTTTCGCCAAGCTGGCACAGCTGGTTGAGATCACGACAAATCTCAAACTCGCTTCATGCAGGCAGCAGGGTGGCGGCTATGTGCTTCCGTGGGTGATGGATGGTGTCGACATCGAGAGACGGCTGCCGGGCGAGAACGAGGACGGCGGTGACCCCGAGCCTGACGTGTGGGGGGCCAAACCTGTTGGTACGTTCACCAACTGGGAGATAAGGAGGCAGATCGATGTTTTTCGCAAGGAGGACACAAGCCGTCCTCGAGAGGTTTCTGCCGTATTCGGGGATCAGGCGGCCACTGTGCTCCCTTTCGACCATGTGCCTCCTCCCCCGTCCCGGGGAGCAGGAGAGGGTTCCGCGGCAGTCGCTGAGGACGGAGAGGACGATTGGACGGACACAGAGGATCTGGCGGGGGGCACAGACAGGAGGACGGAGCAGGTGTACTTCGCGTACGGGGGCGGGTCGGACGGGTATGCGCCGCGGACGTCCGTCATCACGGCCGATGTCGCCGGCGGGGCACAAGGTAGCGCCACTCGACACCCTCCAGCGGGTCGAGGTCGTGGCGCCGTTGCTCGCGACGTTCACCCCCGCGCGAGGAGAGTTCTAGGGGTGGAATCGAGTGACGAGGACGAGGGCATGGCACCTCACGCTGACCGCCTGTGGGACCCTCGGTTCGATCCGATCCACCACTCCAGGGAGCATTCAGAGCAGCTTCGTCGGTCACACAGGTTGAAAAGCGTAGCGTTCCGGCGTCCCAGCAGCCTCAGGACATACCGGTCGCGGAGGGGACACCGTCACACAGCGGCCCCGCACAGGCTGCGACATCCTCTCTGCGCACCAGCGATTTCGATATCGCAGATTCGCATGGGGGCTCACCTGTCTTACGATGCAAAGTCCATGACAGACCGGATTACAGTACGGATGTGAGGGAGAGGGAAGAGACTGTTGAGGAGAGGGATGCTCGCCTGAATCGCGAGGAGGAGGCACTGTTACAGTCCATGCCTCGATGGGAGGGCAGAGAGGCGTATGAGGCCGAGCAGCGGAGGCAGAGGGAGTTAGAGACGATAGGAGCGGGTCCGCCATCAAGCGTCGGACGTATTCCGACTTCTGACACGATGCAGCCCGCCTCTGGGCCCTCTCATGTTGTGGGTGGTGGTGCTGACACATGCGGATTCCCCGCTTGAGGCGAGGGGCAGGCAGATGTGCCATGCGAGGGTGGTCATGTCGGGGGTATCGAGACAGTTGGGGCAGACACAGGAGCGGAGAGCTCCGACGACGGCGAGGAGTGTGCGGCCGTCGAGGCTATCGTAGACGACGTCGTGATTGGCATATGCGCGGCAGGCACAAATGTAGGGACTCATGGAGGGGAGGAGGGGATGGTGGACGAGGGCAGTGTGCCTTTGCCTCAGGAGGAGTTGGTGGACGAGGGGAGTGTTCCTTTGCCTCAGGAGGAGTTGGTGGACGAGGGGAGTGTTCCTTTGTCTCAAAAGGAGTTGGACGAGGGCGATTTGGCTTTGCCTGATGTGAAGTTGGTGGACGAGGGTAGTGTCCCTTTGGAGGGCAGTGTGCCTTTCGAGGCTTTCGTTGATGGCGCGGTAGAGGATGACGAGGAGGGAGTAGGGGTCGACGCAGGCCACAGTGCCCCGTTCGTGCGAGATGGCGTGACCGGAGGGGATGTTGAGGAGGAGGGAGCAGCCATCGACATGTCCCTCGCGATTATTGTTAGGCCCCCGTCGGTGCGAGATGTCGAGAGAGGAGGGCATATTGACTCGGGCGGGCYGGGCTCTTTCTCCACARGTGGGCATTTCRGGGAGATGCCTCAGTGGGATGGCGGGGAACCGGGGGAGTGCACTCCAACCCCATTACATCCRGAGCAGCTAGAGAGGTTGGGGACGGAGGACCCTTTCCCGTTCACCGGTGGTCAGCCCTCGCCTCCCCCGTGGGCTCCAGTGAGCCCTATGTGGACTGGATCATCGCAGTCTGACATCCGCGAGCGGGAGTCTTTGGAGAGACAGGCGGCAGTGTTTTCAGGCGGGCCTGGCAGCAGCCATGCGCAGCCACTGACGCGCCCTGTATCTCGAGCATCGCAGCAGGGATCAGCACCGGCTGCAGGTCTTCCACCGATTGGAGGTCAAGGCAGTGGGCGGGGATCTTCGTCGAGTCATTGAGGTATAGTTTTAGGGGGGTGGTCGTCTTGTCGGCGAGTGACGGACAATCTGAGGAGGCACTACGATAGAGGACGGGGGCTGTTCGCACGAGGACCATTGGGGGAGGGAGATCCTGCAGCGGGTGCGAGTGAGGCTGGACGACCGAGTGTCCACACAACAGGACGTATACTCGGATTGGATAGAGTTGAGACGAGGAGGACAGAGAGGTTGGAGGTTTATTCGGCTCGATCAACCATTGACGACAGACGACAGGGACTGCCGTACAAATCGGGCGAGGAGGACTTGCATATGCCACAGGGTTCGAGACGTCATGGCTCGATCAGGGATCTTGATGCGGAGATTGCTGCTGACCAGCAGCGGTTGGCGGACCTCATTCGCGAGCGTGAGAGGAGGTCGGAGACGGAGGCACAGGCTGAGGAGGCAGACATAGAGACTGAGCCCATCGACACAACTATGCGGAGAGATAGGCATCGGAGAGTAGCGTCCGCGGCAGGCTCACACCTTGCACCCGTAGGGAGACAAGGAGCACCACGCGGTAGGGGTCGGAGTGGGCAGAGAGGAGCATTGGCAGGGAGAGGGACTGCAACACGTCGTAGCACTCATACTAGGCACGGCAGCAGGGGTTAGTGACTTGTGTAGCACGGCAGATCAGTTTTGTACTTTCATGTTTTACACGGCAGGAGTTAGCGACTTTGTGTAGTAGGGCAGATTAGTTTTGTACTTTCATGTTTTTGTATATTATCTTTATTTTATCTGTACATTACTTTCATGT